GACGAAATCAAAATTCCGTCGAAAAATTCACAATATTTATTTTCTTTCTCAATTATTTTTTAAATTTTTTTCGACGGAATCGAAATTCCGACGAAAAGTTCACCATATTTAATTTCTTTTTTTTTTAATTTTTTTCAAGAGTTTTCGACGGAATTGCTTTTCTGTCGAAAATCTTTGACGGAATCGAAATTCCGTCAAAAAATTCACAATATTTATTTTCTTTTTCAATTATTTTGTAAAGATTTGCGACGGAATTCTTTTTTCGTCGAAAATTTTCGACGGAATCGAAATTTCGTCAAAAAATTCACAAAATTTAATTTCTTTTTCTTTTATTTTTTCAGAAGTTTTTCGACGGAATTTCTTTTCAGTCGAAAATCTTCGACGGAATCGAAATTTCGTCAAAATGTTCCACCATATTTAATTTCTTTTTCTTTTTATTTTTTTCAAAAGTTTTCGACGAAAATTTTTTTCCGTCGAAAATCTTTGACGGAATCGAAATTCCTTCGAAATGTTCATCATATTTAATTTCTTTTATTTTTTTCAAGAATTTTCGACGGAATTATTTTTCCGTAAAAAATCTTCGACGGAATCGAAATTCCGTCGAAAAATTCACAATATTTATTTTCTTTCTCAATTATTTTTTTAAAGATTTTCGACAGAATTCTTTTTCCGACGAAAATCTTCGACGGAATTGAAATTCCGTCGAAAAGTTCACCATATTTAATTTCTTTTTGTTTTTAATTTTAATTTTTTTCAAGAGTTTTCGACGGAATTGCTTTTCCGTCGAAAATCTTTGACGGAATCGAAATTCCGTCAAAAAATTCACTATATTTAATTTCTTTTTTTTTCAAAAGTTTTTCGACCGAATTTCTTTTCCGTCGAAAATCTTCGACGGAATCGAAATTCCGTCGAAAAGTTCCACCATATTTAATTTCTTTTCCTTTTTATTTTTTTCAAGAGTTTTCGACGGAATCTCTTTTTCTTCGAAAATCTTCGACGAAATTGAAATTTCGTCGAAAAATTCACAATATTTAATTTCTTTTCTATTTTTTTCAAGAGTTTTCGACGGAATTCCTTTTCGGTCGAAAATCTTCGATGGAATTTCTTTTTCCGTCAAAAACTTTCGACTGAATCTATTTTTCGTCGAAATTATTGACGGAAAACAGATTCCATGAAAAATTCCGTCAATAATTTCAACGGAAATTTTTTTCGTCGAAAAATTCCGTCGAAATAAGACTTTTCTAGTAGTGTGATTTGGAAGTCTTGAACACGAAATGGTATTAAAAAAAGTATGCAAATAGATCTCAGCATTCTTATCATGATTGATTTGATTATTCCTTGCACATATTGTTAGAACTCAAGTATTGTCTCATTTGGAGCAAGTATATATCAATATTTGGATAAGCAAATTCCACTAGTTCAGCAAATGAATACTTTGATATTTGAATAGGCATATATATCGTTTGGAATTTGAATTCTCGCTTCACCATCATTTGGTTATCCAGCATTACCGTTTAGAATCTGTAGAACTTAATTACATAAGAATTCTTGAATATCTGCAACATCATTGGAAGAACTTCACTATAGCCTCTCTTTTTTTGTTTTTTGTTTTAAATACAAAACCTTAAAAAGTTTTCTCAATCGAGAAGTGTTTAAGAGTGTAGCATGAACAATTCATGTCACCAAGCTTAGAGGATTTTGGAATAACAAGCAATATTTTTGAAAAAACTATAAATTTAGACTAGTCATTAATTAGTTTATCTCTTTAGACTTCAATTTTAGTTAGAAGGATACTATTCTATCTCTTGATATTTTGAGTTGTTGCACTCAAATCTCATACAAATAATCAGATGACTTTGTACTAAAAAAAATAATAACAATCAGATGACATAATCTTTGTTATTAAAAAGATAATTATTGTACTTATTATAAGATATGTTAAATTTGAAAAAATAAATAAATTAGATAATGTAGTTTGTAATTTCGTTTATGCTTTGGTTTTTAGTTTTCCCACTTGAATTAAAAAATGTCAAATTTGAATTATAAATACTAATTTCTTATTAAATAAATTAAACATATAAACGTAAATATATGCAAATAATAATATTTTATATTATTATGAAAGTGACGTTGAAATGATATATTCAATCAAGGATGTGGACTAACGTGTGTCATTTTAAGTTAGTTCCCCATCATAAAGAGCAATGTAACAACCAACAAGTAACCACTTAAACAACTGTGTGAGGCAGAAGAGGGAAAGAGTTGTGGACGTAGCATTACTCTATAATTATAAATATGTGGTTGATATTGTTACTTCATCACCATTTTCATTGCATATTAATTTTCTGTTAACAACGAAAGTTTGTTCAACCAATTAACAAATAAGAAGCCATTAAATATGAGTTAGTTGCAGGCACTCGAGGAGTTTGGTACGAGATCTAATCTCCATCTTTTTTTTATAAGCTCTCTTCGAAAAGAAAATGACAGAATCAGTTAGAAGCACATAAGCATAAATTTGTAATACGGATTTAGATGTTGTCATGTTTTTTCTTTTATATTTGTTATTTTTATGTTCCTTATGAAAAATAAAATAAAAGTTAAATGAACTTTAAAAAAATAATATAATTTTATTACAACTTTTTTTTTTTTATATCTTTCACTCTTTAAATATGAGAGTAAGGAATATAAAGATCGAAATCAATTGAATTCAATCTTATCTAATAAGAAAAAAAAAATGTTATCCTACCTTTATGAAGTAGTAATACTAATTCCTAAAAAAGGAAAATGTACATAACCGTTAATATAATTGACATTTTAAATGGAATTGAAGTCAATGTGATTGGTGAACGTGATGTTAGCACGGCCATAGCATTAGGAAAATCCTCACCCCACCGAATCTCCATCGTTATGTAATTAAAAGCCAAAGTTGGTTGGCTATTCCTGAGTGGGGAAGATGAAATATTAAAATTGAATCACGTCGTTGGGTGGGACCCAATTCAAAGATTGACAACTAAAGAAAAAAGGTTAAAAAATTAGGAAAAATTGAAAAATAGTGATATAAAGAGATCGAAAGAGAAGGAAAAAAAAAAAAAACAGAAGCACGCACAGACAGCTAAGTTGGTATTTGAGAGTCAGTTTCAGATTTGGTATACAGCTAAGTGCTAAGTAACATCGCCAAAATCAGAAGCTGAAGCTGCAGGATCCTATGGTGGGTCGCAGGTGCACGCTAACAATTCTCTGACCTCCCTCACCGTGGACTGCCAAAAACTCTCTCTCCTCGCCGGTAAGTTTAAGGAACAGTCAAATTCTTCGGCATCGTTGTCAAACTCAAAGTGGGTTGGTTTTGTTTTGCATTTTATTTTTTGGGTTTGTTAAGGTGGAAGTCAAAGGTTTTGTCGTGTGTTTTGTTGTGTCGTGTCGTGTTCATTTAGATTCATCCCCCCCTTTGGTTTCTCTAAAGTCTAGGTGGTTCGGAGGATGGATCCAACGCAGTCAAGCTCCAATGTAGTGGTCGTGTTTTTAGGCAGTGGGGATGAGTGAATTTTCTTTGGAAAATTCTGGGTGTTGTTTGGTTGGTCGGAAAAGGAAAAAAAGAAAAAAAGAAAAGATGATGATTGTGAGTGGGGAAAATTTTGGCAGAAGATAAAGATGGAGACTTTGGACAGAAACAATTGTGGGAAATGAAGGACACTCTGGAAAGTGGGAGATAGTGAGAGAGAGGCAAAGTTGCAAATTTTTGGTGTGGAATTAAATTTTGGATAGGAGGACAGGGTAGAGTTAGAGGTGATAATTTAATGCTATAATATACCCTATTGGTTATGGGGATTGGAGGGTAGGGTTGGGGCTGTTTGTTTTGCTTTGTTTTAGTGTTGGCATTAATTGCAGAACGAGACGGTAGAGGGTGTGTGGGGGAGCTAGAGAGAGAGAGAAGAGAGAGAGAGAGAGTAACGGTTGACCATTATGAAGGCTATAATTACAACTCATCCATTATCTCTTAGTACTCTGTAGCTGCTTTTATTGTTTGTATTAATTAATTAATTAAACTTTTTTTCTCTGCCTTTTTTTTAAAAATTTATTTATTTATTTTTCAACCCTTAAATATTGAAGTACATTTATCACATCCAAGGAAACTCTTCCTCATCTCCGGCTTTGGACTTTGGTAATTCTCTGTTTCTGATTTGTTCTCAGCTATATCAATGTCTCTTTATGTGCTTCTTTTGTCCTGAAGCTTCTCTCTCTCTCTGCCTTCCATGGTTATGATCAACCAATTTTGCTTTGTTTTTATTTATTTTTTAATTCAAAGCGCTTTTGTTTTGATACTTACATGTTGTTTTTTTATTTTTTTTTAACTCTTTCAACTCCGGATGAAGTTAGAGTTTTCTCTGAAATTGTCAGTTCTCAAGGGAGATAGAGAGAATAACAAAAATTTCAGTTTTTTTTTTCTTCTTCTTCTTCTTCTCTGATTAGAAGAATATTAGATGTGGCTTATCATATTTTCTCTTTCAATACGGGTATGATTTTTTAGCACTTTTTTTTATGGGGCTGTGAAGGTTTTGGGATCTGTGATAGATCTCTATCGTTTTGACCATGTCCCCTGTTTTCCTTCATGCTTTTGAGGTGTAAATTGTAACCCAGTTGGGATTTTTCACTGTACTTTTCTGGATATTTAAACTTGTTTATTCTGATGAGTCAGATCTAATCAGGCTAAAGGACAAAATATTGGTTGGGATTTTGTAGGGAGCAATCTTATTATGTAGGCCTTGCGATTTAAAATTTCGGTTTGTAATTTTGTAGTTGAAAACTTTCATAAAGTTTGAGATTTTTAAACTTTTTTATTTGTCGTTTTATACGCTGTGTACTGTCTTTGGATTCTACTTCCTTAGCCGATTTCTTTTACTAATAAAAGGAAAAAGCAACTGGTACTTGCTTTTTGGTACTTGAATATTATCATAGGCTCTTAGGGTGGATTCAAATATTCTTAAATAAACAAAACTGATTGGTATATATTCTAATGCTGTGCGGATATTAGAAGCTTAAGTTAAAATATGGTCCCCAGTTTTATTGGTTTTTGAGTGCTTCAATCTTAACCTTGTTACCTTCTTCGAGCTTGTGGGAAACTCTCCATGGCCCTTTCTTATGCTCTTTGGTCTCCTTTATAATTAGAGCCATGCCTCGAATTGGGTTCTGTTCAATAGCATTAACAGCTAGAATTTCCTTCCCTACATAGGAATTGAAATTCTGGGTATTAGAAAAAAGAATCAGAGTTTCTTCTCTATCGAATTCCTAGTAAATATTTTAAAGTTTTCTCACGAATAGTGGATTGGTTCTGTTCTTTTCTTTGAAGTAAAGTTATCTTTTGTGGCATCGAAATAGAATCTTGTTATTGGTGCTTGGTTTTGAATACTTTATTAATCATTGAGTCCATTATTGCTCATGTTTTCATTAAAGTACAGTTAACGCTGGTTACTTGCTAACCTAATTGTTCTTGTTTGCTGATTTTCAGGTTCCAGCAGAATATTTTGTAATCAGATTAGTATCTTTGTTGGAGAATTGTGATATTACCACTGGTTGTTGCACGGAAAATCTACCAATGTATTTGAACCTAAGTACACAATGAAACTAGGTAACAAACTGTTTATGATATCTGCAAATGGTTCTTTTAACTATCTCCATCAGCCATTTGTATTTGCTCTTTGCTTTAAAAAGGGTTGGACAAGAATGGCTTTGGTTGACCTATTGGGCAGTAACAAGATTGTGATCCCTGAAATGGACCTCCTATATGTATTTTTTTTATTTTTTCTTTAAATTTGTTGGTCCATGATTCTTAGCTCTCGATGAGGGTGGATTGTTTCTTGACTCATATATTGAATAGGAACTCTTGAAGATTATCAATTTGACTGATGAATTAGGTCGTGGATATGTTCTTTCAGTTCTTTGAATGCAATAATATAATTATTTTAAGCATTGATGTTTCAATGCAATAATATAACTATTTTAAACATTGATGCTTCCTATGATTAACTGAAATCGTTTATGTTTTGAATGGTGTGTGTTTCATAATCAATCTGCTTATTGTTGTTTTGAAATTCAAATCTTACTAATTCATTTCTCACTGGTACGAAAAAGAATGTGCAGAAGGTGACCTAGCTTTCTTCCATTCAAATATTGGCCTTATGCCTGAATCTCAATCGTTAGAGTTCAATGGTAATGATCAAAACTCCGCTGGATACAAATTACAAAACCAGAAAGTGAAGGAATATGAGGATAAAGTCTCTGTTTATTTAAAGAAGAATGAACGGGGTTTCGATCAATCACCATATGACATGGAGTCAGCAGATTGTATGACTACACACGACCTAGATTTTTCTAAGAGCATGATTGATCTGAAAAATGATTATGAAGCACAGTTAAGGGACTTAGCTGAGCCCCTATGTCATTCGTCAAAGGATATAGAGTCACTTATAAAGTTTCCAAATGATATAGAATCAGTTAAAGGGTTCCCTACTTCAGAAATTGCTAATCCTCTGGAAGAAATGGATTCTTTTGAGAATTCAGTGGATGTCTATATGGACAAAACTGTTACAGAATGTGAAGCAGAACAAGCAGTTAGTTACAAAGAGAGTAATTACCATGTTGTCAAGGATATCTGTGTTGATGAAGGAGTACTTACCAAAGACAAGGTCATGTTTGAGAATAGTTTCCCTTCTGAGAGTTACAAAAAAGATGAAAAGCAGAAGGACAACAGTGGAATCGATGTACTAAATCTACCAGCAACAGAGGAATCTGACCAGGATTCTGCTAATCATGATCAGCCCAAGGATTTGATGCACAAAGATGAGAATGTTACTGTAAAACTTTTTGGTAATGTCCACAAAGAGATGGTTTTACCTGAATATGAGGTTTTGTTCCAAGAGCTAGGCACACGCGAATTCATGCCTTCTGATGACAATGTTGAACAGGTATTCAACATATTAGCAAATGTTATCGAAACATTTTGTTTTGAAATATATGTTCTTTTTAAAGGATTGATTGATTACTTTGGTATCTTATTTAAACTTCCATCGCTGTTACATGTTGTTAGTTATAGCATTTAAAACAGAATTTGTGTTCATGATAGCTTTGAACAATTTACCTACTATTGAGTGAAGTTTCTAGGTCATTTAGTTTCTGATATTGATAATTTCTTTTGGAAATTTTGTGTGCTTGCTTGTATGTGTGTGCACATGCACATGGACCTACCTGGAATGCGTTAGGGAGGGCAATTTTTATGAAGTAATATTTGTGATTTATTTGCAGGTATCAGGCGAGCCTGAATTGAACTCCAAGTCCAAAGAGTCCATGAATATGGTTGAGGAAGCAGTATTGGCAAGTTCCACATTGGCATTAGCAATTGATGAATCAAACAGTGATAACATGCTTCCGGAGAATGGAAGCTGCAGTTCTGAATTTAATCCTTCAGCTCCTACAGCTTGTGGCAAAAAGGAATGTCAACAAGTTGGTAGCTGTAAATGCGACGAAACTGAAAATACATCTAAGGCTGTTGATGTGAAGTCAGATGATGAGGCTGTAACAAGTCATCTTCGTCACAGCTTAGGCGAGTCAAGTTTCTCCGCTTTAGGCACAGTGTCAAGCCGTATAAGTTACTCGGGGCCTGTCCCTTATTCTGGTAGCATCTCTCTTCGATCAGATAGCAGCACTACTAGCACGCGGTCCTTTGCTTTTCCCGTGTAAATTGCCATAAAACTTTTTCTGTTAATACCATTTTTTTATAAGCCTTTTTGCTAGTTATGTATGACTTAATAGGCTGTTTTGCATCTTTGTGCTTGCAGACTGCAATCTGAATGGAATAGCAGCCCAGTCAGAATGGCAAAAGCTGATAGAAGCCATTGCCGCAAGCACCGGGGTTGGAGGCAGGGCCTTCTTTGCTGTAGATTCTGATAGGTTATTCTCTTTTTTTTTTTTTTTTATGGTTTAAAATTTATAGAAAGTAAAGTACAGCCTGCTACCATAAAGCTCCAGTTATGTGCATGTCCAAGTATAAATCATTTAAATTCTACTTGAGTATCATGCATGTTCATTCTTAGTTGTTCTCTAGTGTGCAATAGGTTTAGAATGCCATGCCATTGCTATTAGTATGTCTGCAAGCAAAATCTTTGTTTTTCGCCTTGCTTGCATCACTGCTTTTTTCCTTTTTCTCCTTACCTATACTGCTATACATGATATCGTTGATTTTTTATTGCAAACAATTCCTAGTTTATATTAATTTTGCATAATTATATGTTTAACCAAAATCTCTAAATTTAGAATATAGCTAGCTTAATCATTAAAGTCTCTTGATTTGGTTGTTAAGAATGTAATTTAAAAATGTTGCTGTAGTTACTCGGGAAGGGAGATTGAACTTTACAAATCAGGAAAATAGATAGAATAAGTAATTTGCTATAAATAACCGAGGAACACATAAAAAGAGGTGGAAATGGGAGAGGGCGGTGGGATGATATTACTGCCAAGAGGTTTTTAAGGTCACATGTAAAATGGGAGGAACTTGATCCATTTCCTATATTGAAATTGTCATGTCATGACTTGTCATTTCAGACCATGAGTAATGGATGGAGATATTTTTTGGTGGGCTCAGAGCATAGTGGTCCATTTCCAAAAAAAAAGGAGGAATTGAGAGGGAAAAAACAAAAAAGGAAGGGATAGAAATAGAATAAAGTTTTCCATTTATGTAAAAAGGATCACTAAATAAATGGTGAGCCTCGAGTACATTAAATTTTTTCGTAACGGATGACCTCTTGACGTTGAAGTATATATATATATATATATATATATATATATATATATATATATATATATATATATATATATATAGATTTATATTTCTGCAACTACTGTACGTGCAGTAGTTAAATACTTGTTATGAGAGAAAAGCTTACGATTGATTTTTGTTGAGATTGTGATTCGGACGTTTTTGACGCGGTCAAATACTGATTATAACATGACTGGATACTGAAGATGGTGGTTGTGGGAACTTTGGATTTGGTGTTGAATTGCAAAACGGAAGCGTGTTTTTTGAGAACTGGCTTCCTGACCTTATAAGATTACTGTGAGATTATTGTTCATTTTCGACTATGCATACGGTAGAGTCTCCAAATTTTAAGGTCGTCTTCTTCCTTGACTACATAAATCATTTGGAAAAGGTTTATAGGAAGACATTTACAGGCATTAGATTACCTTTCAGGATAAGAAGTGCAAGTATGCCAAGTAAAAATGTGCCTATATATAACAATACATGATATTCATGACGATGGGTATCTTTCATTAAGAACATTGTATAAAAAGAAGTCTACTTCTCAAATTGTTACAAAGAATGAGAGAATTTATTTTATTTTTTTATAAAGAGTGGGGATAATCTTCTTTAACTTTCCATTGTATTGCAGGTATTAACAAAAAGTAATTTTGTCCTACTGATCATCACTGTCCAAACATTAATCTCAATCGACTAAATTCTCTTGAAATTTTCTCTCCTTACTTTCGAAACCTACGTAGACAAATTCAAGCTGCACTAAGATACCCTCTCAACTAATCACCCCCAACCCAATGTATGCTGAGCACGTATTTTCAGTAGCCATTTCTCTCCATGAAACTGCTACAATTCTTGTTGCTAATTCCTGCACTTTGAGTTTCCACTTTTCTCCCTTAGTTGTGCATCATGGGCATTCTCTCCTTTGGAAAATTCATTTTATAAAAATTTGCAAATTTCTTATTCGAAAATTATAATGCCATCTTTTTTCTCTCTTGTCATACCTGTAAGGTATTCTGACGCTCAAGTCAGTTCAATATTCAATGTAGTTCAAGTATTCAATGAGAGATATCTTACCTAAGCTGAATGCCTTATAGTGTGGAATGTCTTGTTTCATGCCGCCTTTCCTAGGGCGGTGTTCATGTTCATTTGTGGAGAAAGGTGACCTCTCACGTGCTATTCCTTGGTCAAGAAACTTAGAGTTGGGCTAGTTTCAGTAGGCGTAGTGGCAAGCAGGTGCTTCCAATTATTCATTGGATTCAAGTGGCGGTTAAGTCGAGATTCCCCCTGTTTGTATGCGAAATAAGTTGCCTTGATGGTCAAGCTAGGTAGTTCTTGGGCCCTATGAGCCTTTATTGAATTGATATTCTATCTCGCATATATTAGATCCACATAAAAAATCGTTATTGTCAAATTTTGAACTCTTTCGGCAACTCAATGTTTCCCCCCACTTATTATCTCTAATCCAATCGATGGTAATAGATTTGCAATTACAACCAAAAATAAATACCAACAAAGTCTCGTTAAATATAATTCATCCATCGGACATCACTTTAGATGGAGATAGTAATTGTGAAGGAAAACATGGAATGATTAAAAGCAATTCTAAAATCGACTTGATAATTATCTTCTGTCTTTATATGCATTGATAATGATGAATCTAGCGATGAAATGCTTGCAACTGCATATGATAGAAAGACATAGTATTGAGAGGATGCTTGTTGAAAGGAAAAGCAAGTTTGGTGTGATATATAAAGCCTGATAATTTAAGCTTATATTATACATTGTTATTTTTAATTGTTTGGTGTTACCATTATATAGTATAAACTTATACAACATAATCTCTTAATACATTAAAATGATATATAATTTAATCAAGCCTTGGAGGTGGAATTAGGCCTGACAAGGAGTTGATGTATTAGCTTAATCCCTTCCCATCTTTTTCTTCAACATTGTAACCCTTCTGCCCCTTTTCTTCTACTTCTTCCCCCTTTCTTCCATTGGAGGCAAAAATTAATCAACACATTTTTGCTTAATACCTTCATGATTCCGAAAAAATACAGAACACTTGAGACTTTGGAAACATAATTTGGTAGCTAAGAAAATTCAAAACTACAAGAAAACTTAAAAAATGAAAACAGAGAGAGAGCATCAACGGCCGCAAAACCATTAACAACATTAAAAATATGATTTCAGAATCCAAGCATAAACACAGAGATTAAAGAGAAGCGCGAGAAAAACGTTGAAAAAAGGAGAAGAAGATATTGATTGAGTGGAAGGATCAGGGTTGGAAAGCAAAACAACATACCAAGCAAAAAGTAATATAATTTTATTTTACAAAAATTTATATAGCTTTTGGGACATATTGATAGATAGATTTTTATATAAATTAATATCATATGACATAGACATATTGGGAAGAATTATAAAAATTCTTTATTAAAGGGTAATTTTGTTAAAAATATTTATTTATATCCTATCTAGTATTTATTTATTTATTTTGTTAAATTAATATTATTATATAGTGAATTACTAGACACTAGATAATATTATCTTATACAAAGTATTATCTTATATAATATCATGTCAAATACTGAATAATATTAAAATTTAATCTGGACTTATACTATAATATCTTATGTTATTAGTCGTCATCGTATCTTGCATGCCTTAAGGATAACACAAGATGTAGTACTTCTCGTTTTTCTAAGCAATGAGGTTAATTGGACGAATGTAAGCGGACACTTACTTATTGTGTCACTTGCAAGGACAATGGTCTTGGGACTAAACTCTCAATTCCTTCAATATGCAAGAATGTTGAAATTACGTACGGTTGTACTAGTTTTATTTTTTTCCCTTCTCCATAGAAGTTTTGCGTAGTGCCATTACATTGCTAACACCATTTCTTTTTACAAATTCCACTGCTTTTAATTTCCACGTTTCCCCTTACACACCATGCATACTCTTGATTTCCATCAACAAAGTTATTTCGTCATAAACTGTAAGCTTCTTGATCTAACACATTGTTTTTCGTCTTCCTCTTATTGTATCTCTATCCCTAATAATATTACTTTAGATGTAGTTATGTTACTCTGTTCATAATTTCCTTTAATTCTTTAATAATTTATTTTTAATTTAAATCAAATTATATTACTTTGTTGAGAAGAAAAAGTTGTTATTTGAATACCAAAAAAAAAAGAAAAAGTTGTTATTTTATTTTGTTGGCCTTTACATAAAGTTCAATTTTTTTTATGATGTGTAATTTTGTTTTACAATTTATCGATGGATTTAATGTTTTTACAGTGAGTATAGATAAGTTATCTATATTCACTCACAAAACAACGTCATTTTGGATTGAAAAATTAAAAAAATTATAATGAGAAAGACTCTTATAACCCTCAAATAAATTATAATTACAAAAGTACCTTGATTTTCTCTTCAAAATGACATCGTTTCGGAGTCAATATAAATAACTTATCTACATTGACTGCAGAAAAAATAAACCCTTTATAGATTAATGTGAATCAATACATTGAAATTATAGAAGATAAAGTTTTGTGTTTTTTATGATTTTAATTAGAGTATTTTTTGTATTTTATTTACAATTTGATATATTTTGTTTATTAAGGGTATTTTTCACATTTTTGATAATAAGAATATTTTTAGTATTTTGAGAACCATATATGCAACCTGGTCAAAAATCCATGAACAGGGCATAAATCGGATTCACCGACCAGTTATTAAAAATTATGGCAAAATATTCCACAACAATATCAGTCCTAGGACTCAAACCCAACAACTAAGAGAAGGGAAGTGAAATACTAACAATTAAGTCACATTATTTTGGTTGTCATATTACCAGTGGCGGAGCCACTTGCTTCTTAGCTGATTCCTTGGCACCAACCGATTTTTAAAAATGCTATATATTTTCTTTAAAAGTTATGGTATAGCCTAGGTATTGATTAGGTTTTTAAAATAAAACAATATTGGTACTAGTTGGATTTTAATAGTTAAGCCTTTTGGCACTGGCTGAATCTTTTCCCTGGCTTCGCCACTGCATATTACTTTTTATATTTATTATATATCTTTACATAAATTCAATACAAGCGGCTCAATCCATAATCCACCAGTTGAACCAATAATCTATTAACTTAGTACCCCAATCGAATCGATGACCGATTCATATTTCATAACATTAATACATTAATGGGTCTCAGTCACAATTTGAAGCCACAAGGAGTGAAATTGAAGTTTTTTTTATTATTGTAAAATGTTTTTTCTGTTATAGAAAATAAAATGATCTCTTCTAAATTTCAAAATGATATCATTTTGGGATTTGAAAAAAAAAATACAGGGTACTTTTACAATTTTATTTCTTTCTAGCAACATGAATTTTTCCAAAAAATTTTATTCTTTTTTCT